AGGAGGTGAAACATCCCTCTGTTGTTGTAATAAGGTAAGGTTACGTGTCTTTCCCATCATGCTACAAATACAAGTTACAACTAAAACTGTAAACAGCGATGCCATATAATAACACGAATTTGGCTTCGTTGACCCCCATAATAATAATGGTGGGCATGGGCTGCCTACACCAACTGATGCAAATCCCTCTCCTGACGAAGACTGCCGCTTCCTGCGAAATGCACAAATGGTTAGAGAGGCTTGTGTGTATGCAGAATGAGTTCAAGGCTAGATGTTAAATCAGGCAAGAAATGACAGAACCAGAAGCATGGAATGCACATGTATATAACAAACTGAACTAGGGAACGTCTCTTCTTTTAATTGAATGTATAATCATATCTAAGACCAAAAACCGGATCTTATAAAAAAGAACTGCACTGAGGCATACCCCAGTACGCCCTTTATTGAGTTCCACAAGGATGCAACACGACTAGTCCCCTGGCTTGAAGCACTGGTTCTATGCATGGCAAAGTTCGCATCTTGTGTCCCTGAAACAGGACAGCATGAATTTTTCTCAGTCATTGTTTAAACCTACTATTTTTTTCTTTTTCTAGTTAGATAGTGGTTCGTAAACGTAATAGACTCGAAAACTATACCGGTGCCTTTGGAAGCAACTGAATGGCCTTCTCTAGATGCCTTAAGTGAAGCCAGTTCTTCAACAAGGGCGCGTTCCTTATCACTGTCATTAAAATTACAACAAATTCAATGAAAAACAGAACACAAGGTATTGGGATATCAAGCTGGATGCCAAATTTAACTGAAAAGTTTAAACTAGAAGAAGGGATCATAACATGGTTTAAGGACTTCAACCTGATTATCTTTGGGATCAGAACATTGACAACAAAGTGATGATCTCCTCGAGTAGAAGGTTTGTTCATGTCTGGAACCCCCATGCGCCGCAACTTTACTGTTTCTCCAGGCTGAATTCCAGAAGGAATCTGAAGCTCTTTCAAGCCTTCAACAGTTTCAACCTGAAGATAATTAACAGTTTCCATGTCATACAGCTTGTACAAACTTTTCAAGTCACAGAGATACCACTTGGCTTCACCCTAAATACTACAAATCCCCAAGCTTATCAAACACCATATCAGGGAAGACAGTACACAAGCAACATATGTCGAAAATTGTATACTGTTGTGGGTCCCATGGGTATCATTGGTAAAGTGAAGCATATCAATTCAATCATCTTGTCCCATGATCTGTTACTCAGTAAATTAAACCTCAGTGATGTTCAGGAGGTACTACTATTGCAGGCTTCTACAGACAGGAGCTCAATTTGATAATGCAATGAAGGGTCAATTTTCTCCATTCCTGTACACCCTCACTAACACTAAGTGATAATGCTTGGATTACCTTTATAACAGTCCCTAAAATGGCCTCGGTATAATCAATATTTATCTTTGAGTACAGATGGAGTCCATCTCTATGAATTCCAGCCTTTCCGTCTATATGAAGCACTATGAAGACATCACCAACTGTACCCCTGCCATAATGCAGATAATAAAGAAAATTAGTGCAGGGCATGCCTTAATATCCAGTCACATAAAGCAAAAATATTGAACAAGTAAAAACAGATCCCAGAAATTCTAAAAGTATAACATAAAAGTGCATGCCATGGTTGTCATAGACAATCAAATGCAAAAGCCAATGTAAACTCCACGAGTAGATTTGTATTTTATTTGGAATTCGTTTCTATCGACAAGGTTGTATGTTTCAAACGTATTGAATTAACAACCACTTAGGACAGAAAGCAACAACTAGAAACCACTTCTTGACAACCAAATCATGATTACTACAACGACACCAGATTTCTTTCTTTTAATTCACTTTTCATCTTTAATAATCCCTTTCTAATTCTCCAATCCTCCAGCGCAAACATTAATCTAGCTCAGCTTTTAAGCAGCGTCCATCAGTAAGAAACAGACAAAGCTGATGTGCGACCTTTCTTAGCATTCAAAGATCCAAATGCAAAGAATATATGAGCAATATTTGATGTACACATAAATTTGAACTGTGTATACACCTTTTCTTATCAAAATTTCCCTCCCCTTGAATTTGCATTGTGGCTCCATCATTAACACCAGCTGGGATGGTCACACTCATAGTTCTTTTTGACTGTACTTGTCCCTTGCCACTGCATCTTTGGCAAGGATCAGTGATTATTCTACCATCACCGCCACACTTTGAGCAGGTTGATACCTATGAATCATAAAATATCATCTATAAAGCATATCTCTAAGACATATATAGAGATCTTGAGAGAATGGTAGGAAGAAGGCAGATTAATTAAGATATGTTTGACCAATTGCTTGGTAACTATCCTATATAGTATTGGCACATATCAACATACTGCATTGAAATTCCAATAATTTATAAATACACTCATATACACAGAACGACTGAGAGGTTTCCTTACAAGCTACCTATGGTGTCTGCAATATGAGGCTAAGAAGATTTATTCAAAATATGTAATGTAATTCCAACGATTTTTAATGTTCTAAACAGGTATTTTTACCTGTGATATCACGCCAAATGGTGTTCTCTGAGTTTTCATCACCCCTCCTCTTCCTCCACAACCAGTACATGATTTTATGCAATTATCAGATTTAGCACCTGTTCCACCACAATTATCACATGTCTCAACACAAGAAACCTCAATTTCCCTCTGTACTCCGAAAATGGATTCTTCAAAGGTCAGATACAGATCATACCTGCAATATGGAAGTTAAAGGGAGAGGCCTGGAAAACATAAATTTTGTGCTTTCAATAACACGCATGTGGATTCGGTGCTAAATTCAAAGACTATTATTAGAGCCACTATTTTCCCTAAGTCAATATTTGAAGTTTGAGTGTTATAAGTTGATATCAACAATATTTTTCGTCTTTAACCTGTTACTAGTTCTTATACAATATATCACATAAATACTAGTCTTGACATTGAGAGAGAGAGAGAGAGAGAGTAGCCTCTAGGTGGTTTTTACTTTGCAGGTTATGCATTTCATTTCTCAAATACATTATTTGCAATACGTAATATAAGTAAACTCAAATATTCTATACAAAATAGAATGGGACAGATCATTCAATAGTAACATTGCAGCTAGACAGTTACCTAATGTCTAGACCCTGGTTTCCCCTGTTCCTCAAATTGAAGGTAAAGCCTCCTGATTCACCCCTTCCTCCAAAAATCCCATCCGACCCTCCAAAGAATGTATCAAAAACGTCAAAAGGATCCACCTAATGATTTTTGATGATTCATCAGCACACAGTTAAAATGACCAGTTCTTTCACTAGAAAAGCAAATCCATTAAATTACTAAGTAAAATACCCAAAGGATATGTGTGTATGTGTATGCGCATGTCTGTGTTGCTGTAAAGACCGGGAAGATCTTACCCCTGTTGAACCCATGGTCGAAGGATCATATGCTCCCTGTAAACCTGCTTCACCAAAGCGATCATATAAAGACCTTTTCTCATCATCTGATAGGACCTACACAACTGCTTCATTAGCATATGAATGAAAAAGGAAGCACTGATACATCATGCAATATTCAGTAGGTTCATAGAACAACAGTCAAAGCAACTTTATTCAACATCAAACAATACATCACCAGACTGAGTGAAATTTATTCAATTAAAACATGAAGTGTGGGTTAAACGTTTGCATTTGAAGATAAGTGAATTTAAAATATCCATCTTTTACTCAAAATTGAAGAAAAAATACATAAATGGGAAAATGAAGAGACAAAATGACAATGCAGCATTTTGGGAGAAGAAAAACTAGAAACAGTAATACCTCATATGCAGAACTAATCTCTTTAAACTTGTCCTCAGCCCCAGCACCCTTGTTTAAGTCTGGATGATACTGTTCCAAGTTCCAACAATTGGGATATCAAATTTCAATGCCATGTAAAATGGATAGTTAAAAATCTTCAATTCTTTGCAAATAACATGAATTGCAAAAGAAACTGAAAACAAACAGAAAACGAATAAGAACAAGCTAACCTTGCGAGCGAGCTTTCGATAAGAGGACTTGATCTCCTGCAACGTGGCACTTCTAGGGACGTTGAGAGTCTTATAATAATCAGTTCCAGCGGCCTGGATGACCAAACGAGCACCCCTTGGAGGCTTCGTACGGAGGAAAGGAGCGTAATTGGGCTTGAAGATTGGGTCGCTATTTCTGGCAAAGAATGCAGAAGCTCTGGAGCTGAGGGTGGAGCAGCTCAAAGAATAGGGTGGATGTGGAACCGCAGAGTTGGGGATTGGCAGGACATTGGAGATGCAGGTGCTTTGGATGATGGGCATGCTTGGATTTTTAGATTTTCGGAATTGGACTGGTGGTACGGATGGTTAACGGAGATTAGAGGTTATGGGGGTTTGCAGAGGTTTTAGGGTGATTGGATATTATGCTGAAGAAGAAGCAGAAGGTAGTCAGAACGAACAAAACTAAAATACTGTCCTAAGCGGCAAATATATTTTCGGATACGACAAAAGATCTTGAGGCTAATATGAGAATATTACAAAATAGATAATGTCCTTTTTACCAAAGTAGAGTACAAAAGTAGTAAGGGCATAATGGACTTTTACTGTTTCAATTGTGATATGAATTTTCAACAGAGGTGACACATTTTTGGCTATTAGCAGATTAACCCAATTTTGATGGCTAAGATTGCATTGAACTATAGTAATTCAAATTATGCAGCAATAATAGCTCGGATGTTATCTTAACCATCAAAACTGAGTTAATCTGGCTAAAAAAGCATGCGCAAATATGTACCAAAAATGCATTTTCGTGTATCCCTCCTTCCTCCAATATCGCTTGTATAAATAAATAAAAAGATCTTTACGCGTTTTTAGCGGAGCAAGAGAGCTCATTGAGTGCTGTGCTGCTTTGTTTGGTGATCAATTCAATATGTTGTATGAACACTACCCACGAGTGACAACTGATTGAGTGCATGAATAATTGGGACATGGGATTTATCCAAACAGCTTAATTACATAAAATCATTCAGTTGATTTCCTGCATATGAAATGAAGTACTGAATCATAGTAGGATCTTGTCAAGAGGAAGGAGCTAATAATACAGTCAATGCCACAGCAGGTCAAAGGTCTGTTCCTAAAACATGAGTCATACAAAAATTCCACCTAGGCTCAAAACACTCAGATCAAAAACAACTAAAGTGCTCTTGCTTCATCGACTGGAGGTTATAGAGAGGGCATCTTGTCTGCTAGTTTAAGCTCATCCATCAGCAGATGTGCCACTGATTTGTATCCCATCTCCTGACCTAGAATTTGAACCCAATTGAAGGAATTAAACACAAAATTATTATTATGCAGAAAACTAAGCATTGAATATGAGATTTAGAACAAACGGATATAACAAATCTGAATCAACAATTAATGGAGAACAAGACACATACATCTGTATATTGCTACCCCAGTTGGAGCCATATTTCGCTTGTTTAGGCAAATCGAACTAGTATATATAAAAAGAACATTAAGTCTTCATTCAGTCTCCATAGCATAAGCTCATAAAGTTGAATCAGTAAATATATACCTGTTACATATCCAGTAAGGGTTTACTCCTTTCTCTTCTATGCAATGTGGGCACATCCATTTCCTGTTTTCTCTCACTTCCTCCAATTCTGACAAAGAAATGCATTCAATACCTAAGAACTTTCCTCATATGGTGCAGGTAATTGCTTTTCTTATGTCTGTCTTTGTAAAACGACTTACCTTCACCGTACCTAACCTTGAGACAACCTCGACAAAGAACACCTCTGCTAGAATGACAAACTGAACAATCCGTTTTTCCTAAGCACATATAAGGTTTAAGAAATGTCACAACAGTTGAAGGTGTGTCAGACTCAGAACGTCAAAGTGATGATCACATTTTAGAGAACTAACCAATGCATGGCTGGTCCATATCAAGATTACCGCATCGCTTGCAATCTTCTTCACCGCACAACTTCTTTTGCCTGCACTTTTACATGCATCAGAATCTTAGACTAGTCACAATATAATTGAATAGTTTTAGTACAGTTAAGTTAAAAAGAACATTATTAATTCACAGGTTTTGATACTTATTTGATCTTTACCGCCTGTTAGTGTTATGCAATTGATTCAAATATGGCAACATTGTGAAGCAAACTAGTTAGTTACTCAGAGCACTCCACAAATCAGGAGAAAAAAAGAGGACAAAATCTATACATTTTAGTTCATTAAAAGCAGGCTAGGCAAACAGACTGTCGACACCAATAATCAATCAATAGAACCAATCGAAATCCAGATGAGTTATAACTTAAGTTTACTGTCCAAAATCTAACAATCAAACCAAAAGTAACAAGATGGCCATGTTCAACTAGCTATCTAATATCTTAGTATCAAACTTCATTCTATCTTGCTATACAACTCAAAGAAGACAAAAAATTGTAACCAAAAGGTTAAGGCATAAAACCTGCATAAATGGCAATGAATCCCGAAAACCGGGTGATAGACACTGCCACGGCCCTTGCTATTGCAACGCTGAGCCGCAGACTCGGAAGAAAGCTGGAGCTCCGATTTCCTTACATCCACCAAAGGCGCATTTGCAGGCCTCCTCTCTTCACTTTCTCCGCCAGCTAAACTCCCTTCACGAAAAACAATTTAGAACTTCCAAATGAAAGAAGTTGTAAGGATTTATCAGCTACCAAACAGAGCAAAAGGATTGAATTGATTACCGGATTTGCCTCTTAACCTCTCAGATCGTCGAAATGAATCGTGCTTTGAGACAGTGGCAGTAGCAGTGGCAGTTATTTCCTTCAAGCGATTAGAGCGGCGCAAAGAGGTGAGCTCATAGACTTTCTTGCGGTAATTTCTGACATGGGTTTTGGGTGGTTTTGCAGATGAAGCTATGGATCGGAGCTCGGTGATGGTTTTGTGCAGTCCCAACGAAGTCAACCGAGCCTGTAAATTCACCATTTCCATTAGCCAAGTCAAGCTAACATTTTTCGTTTATCAAGCAAGAAAAGAATAAACAAGAGTGTTAGCGAAAGAGAAGAGAAGAGGACTTGTCACCTACCTGATTTTCCAATATTCGAGCATTTCTGACATTTTCGTAGTCACTCTTAGCTTGGCCCCTCCCCATTCTTGTTTTGCTTCGATTCAATTTCAAGGGGGCGAGCTTTTTATACGCTTACACGAGACGAGGAATTACGATACGTTTTTCCCTCTTGTTTTAATCATTTTGAATTTTAAATAGAGAAGCATAAATAATGCATCGACCATTTGATGAACGCCACCTTACGCCAAACCATTTGCTGACTTCAATTAAGGGGAATGAACGGGCAGTGTTAAATTTAAGGCCCCGTTTGGTTCACGGAATGGATTTGAGGGGAAATCAATTCCCATGTCATTTCCCAAGGAATGGGAATGACAGATTCATTTCCCACGTTTGGTAATGTTGGGAAAGTAATCGGGAGATTTCACTTTGTTTCCTTTCCCATGTTTGTTTTGAGTAGGAATGGAAAACAAAATTTGTATAATTTTCCAATTATACCCATATTAAATCAAATAAAAAAAGAATGCATTTAATGATACGTTGTAATTATAAATTGTTCATAGGGACAAAATAGTCATGAAAATTGTGCATTGAATGTTGGCACATTTTCCCAAACTTTCCCATGAGGAGGGAAAGCAAAACCCAAGTTAAGAGGGGGGCATCACTTTCCCCCCTACTTTCCCATGTGCCAGGAATCCGTTTCCCATTCCCGGACTTACCAAACATGGGAAAGCAATTGAATTCCCATTCCTATGCCTCCTTTCCCATGAACCAAACGGCCCCTAAGAGTCCTCTGCCAACCATGTGATATGATGTCACATGTATCTAATACGGGAGCTTCTATAATGAGGATGCTATTTAAGGGTTATGAAAAATATGGTAAGCATAGCATTTTCCTAAATTTAAAGGGCAATTAAGGATCTGAACCATCGGTGAATGAACGCTTGGATCTATCTTACAAACTTTATTTGAATTTAGGGTTAATGACATAAATGGTCCTCAAATTATTGCCCCAGTATCATTTTGGTCCACCAACTAAAATTTTCAATTCAAACGTCCTTCAACTCTTCATAATATACCAAAATGGTCCATCCGTTACAGAATCCGTGACTTCTGATCACACGATGGCCACGTGACTTGAGTTTTGAAGGGTATATGCGACTTTTTGAGAAGCTAACACAAAACTCCCATTTTCTTCTTCTTCCTCCTCCCTCAATCCCCATCCCCTGCAGACGATTGCCCCTCCGAGACTTCATCTTCGCCAACTTCTTCACCATTGGCCTCTCGATCTCCATCTTCTTCTTCCTCGTCGTCATCCTCTGTTACGGTGTTCCTAGTCCCCTCTCCTTCCACTTCAAATCCAAATCCTCCACCCGTTTACCCAAGCCCCGAAAGTCCGCTTCCCGCAAACCCGTTTCGGCCGGAGATGTCTTATCTGGAAAGATGGTGGAGGGACTCCTCTGACCTCAAAAGGGAATCATTCACCAATTTGGTGAAGAATGGTCACCTGGAAATTGTTGGAGGTGGCTGGGTAATGAACGTTGAGGTAATAAATATTCATATTCATAGGGTTTCACCTAAAAAGACGATTTTGTCCCTCGATTTCACGGAATAATAAACAGACTTTGACGGATGGACCATTTTGGTATATTATGAAGAGTTGAAGGACATTTGAATTGAAAATTTTAGTTGGTGGACCAAAATGATACTGGGGCAATAGTTTGGGGACCATTTAGGTCATTAACCCTTGTATTTATATATAGTTCTTTTATACAAGTGATATTGGATGATCAGGAATCAAATCTAGAACCTCCGCTGCATGAGGAAATATTCTTAACCATCTTACTATTATAATTTATATTCAAATACAGAGGGGATTTTCGACAAAAAAAATAAAATACAGAGGGGACAAGTTTCATAGAAAAGAATGAATCAATTGAAATTGAATTGAAAGAATGGAATTTGTACATGTACAAGTTGTTTTGTCTCTAAGATCTTCAACTACATTGTATGGTTTTGCAATCAGCCCTCGTTTTGGTGACAAGTTAACTCGAGAAGGAACGATGGCAGGAACAAAACAAGGCCACAAACACCTTAAGATGATGGTTCTATTCGACTTCCTCATTCCTAATCTGAGCTTTCTTTGGACCAAGAAAACTACTAATTCTCCCTGCCTACATCCGTTTGGTCCTCCAAAATTTGAAAAGAAGAAAAGAAACTCCAAAGCTATGAAATTCTACGTGCGTTTTGTTTCTTCTTCTGCCTGTTGGGGGTGCATTTGTCGAGAAACTAACTTCTCCAAAGCTTCCCTCATCCACCAATTTTGACATGCTTCTCTAGCTTCGGCAACAGTCATCTACAAAATATATACCATAAATTTTAGAACTACTGATACTATGAATGTGAGAAATCTACACACAATTGAACCAGAAAGTAAAGATGTCCAGAGACAGTTAAGCATGTATTGCAATTCCACATACCCATTCTCGTTTTCTGGCACTTTGCTCGGGCCAAAGGTCCAGTTGCTGCTGGACAAGCAAAGGGAACATGTACCCCTGACGAAATGTGCCATGGCTTTTGCTCTTATAACGCCACATACCCAATATACTCTGCAAGTACATAGAAACAATGGATGAGTAAATGGATGCAATTCACTGAAAATTAAGCTGGACTGGTTTAGGATTGGTTTTGCAGATACTCACTCCAAGTTGGCCAATCACACCGGCTTCCTCTAGCGTCTCTCTTTTAGCCGCTTCTTCGATAGACTCATCAATTTCCCAACCTCCCTATAATCAATCACATTGCAGTTGCGCAAACGTTTAGGATAATGAATAAAACAAAAATGGCAGGAGCACAGCCATAAGAAACAAATCCTGGGGTCAAAGGCAGTACCTTTGGGAACAACATTCCTTGACCATTCTGTGAACTAATCACAAGAACTTCTAATTCCTCAAGAGATGAAGATTGTTCAGTTTTCCTAAATCTGTATGGTATGCATCTGCAGAATTAACCCCAAACAATTAGATTACAAGATATAAAATCCCAACTTGAGAATCACAAAGTTCATTCATTTAACAAAGACCCACTTGAGAATTTCTTAATTCAAGAATCTTGTAAAAAATTTACCTTCATACTTTATGGAAGAAAAAAAAACGTACAAATGAAAAGAATCAAAACAAAGCTATGAAATTGGAGGAGGGAAACATACCCTACAACTTGGCGACAATCTTTATCATAGCGCTGCAAATGCCTTCCCGTCCGGGACACCAAGGAAACCACGTTCTCAAGTTGCATGGGAATGAAATTCCCACTATTTTTCTTGGAGAAAAGAGGAGAAGAGAAAATAAAAGCTGCAATATTTCTTGAGACAACGAGACCCATAGTCACTTGCCGGGCAAACTTTCGCTACGTGTAGAAGAAAGGGAAGAAATTGAATATTTCTTCTTCAAAGATTCAAAGATTCAAAGATTCAAAGATTCAAAGATTCAAAGATTCAAAGAAAGAGACCCACCAATTTAGGGGGATATCTCAGGAACCAAATTGGGCAAAGAAGGAAATGGAAATTCTAAAAATAGATTGGATTATGTGAGCGAGCACAGGGGGGGAGGCCTTTGATAGTTTCAGCTTGGGAGGAGCAAAAGCGTTTTTTTGTATTGAAACGCGAATTTGAGTGAGTGAATAAGAAACTGCTTCTTCAGACTCTTTTCCTTCAATTGATAAGCTTCTCGTTAAATATCTGGGATTATATATAGAGGAGGAGGAAAGGAAAGCCACAGCTGTTTGATTTAGAATGGCAACGGACGCGCATGTGGGAGCGAAGAAGCGCCGCTTGACAAAGACCTTCCTTTTCCCCTTCGTCTTTTTACACTCTTATCGTAAAGTCATAATCGCGTCTGCTTTTTATCCTACCTGCCCCATTTTTGTAGAATCGTCTTTGTTTTTTCTGTTTTCCGTTTTTTGTTGCTTTAATTAACGAAATAAAAAGGTTAATATATATATAGTAAAAACACAACTAATAACTAAATGACATCAAAAAGGAAATAATATGGTTCTAACTTCTAACACACTACCTATATGACAAGAGATCAAATAACTTTACAAACGGTAATCTAAACTAGTCTTTAATTTATGAGGAGGGAGATTCAAACTTGAGTTTACCTGCCAAATGGATTAATCCACGCTTTCTTATATCATTATTAGATCAAATAACTTTACAAACAGTAATCTAAACTACTCTTTAATTTATAAGGAGGGAGATTCAAACTTGAGTTTACCTGCCAAATGAATTGAATTAATCCACGTTTGCTTATATTTTTATTTTTTATTACGCGTATCATATATAAGATATGAAAAATAGAAATAAGAATAATTGTAATAGAGTAAAAATGTTTGTTTACTATTACTGGTGTTGTGGAGAGTAGAGTGTTAAGTCAACGCGCTAAAGCGAGAGTAAGAAGAATTTTCAACTCCTTGAATATTGAGAAATAAATAATAAAATAATATGGCATGATTGGAAGAGATGAGAACGAAAAAAAGAGGACGTGTTGAGGAGAGAGAGGGTTGGGTTTGGTTTGGTTGGCTTATCTCGACGATGACGAAAGTGTAGCTGACGCGTTTTGGATAAGAAATAGTGGAGTAGAGACTAGAGTAGCAGCACTCGGTTTCTTTCAAACATAAATAAAAAAATGTGGGCTCTGACTCTGATTCATGAAAGTTGAAACCAGTAAGTTAGTAACCAGTAATTAGCCTAACACGGTTTCAATTCAAAGCTCCATACTTGCCTATTTACGACTGATACGACTAATATGATATGCCTAATTAGGAAAGTCGTCGTTTCTGTTCTGGCTTTGCGACGACATTTTCCACACTCTCACTTACACTACTGTGCTTCTATTGCTGCTGCTGCTTTCAAAGGTCCATACTTTTCTTTTAGATGCGTGTAAATATTGATCTTGTCTTCCTCCTTCAACCTGTTATTTTTAGTTTCAAGCTAATAATCTTTTTCTTTTTTTTTGTTGCAGAAATAATGCAACATGATGGATCTCTGACTCTTCTTTAGTCTGCTGCACAAGTTAGTAAATTACCCAGTACGTACGTACGTGCATTTTCAAGCACGTTGAAAAGGTGGGATATGTAATACAATTTTCGTTGTTGTGTGTTCCGTTACTAGGTTGAACTTTGAACACAACTGCGCTTAAGCTGCTACACCAACTGACCAACAATGTATATATATATATCTGCCGCTGCGTACACACACACACCCCCAATAACAACAACCACAATGCAACGCAAGTTGCAACTCACTCACTCATCACCCGTTTAGTGATGAGTCAACCCATATATACAAGTAAACTGTCGCCATTCCATATCTAACACAAAAATTGTTAGATATTTACATGCAAGGGTCCACTTGTTAGTGATGCCATTTCTGTGGTGCTCATTACTTTTCTGTGGAGTCAATTTATGGGGTCGAGTCCAGCTAAGGGACCAGTACTCTCGGTTACTGATTAGATTCCCAATTCACTTTTTCCTTGGCCAAGTGAAACAAATCGTTTGAATGCACATGCTAGGGACCGTTGGGGATGAATCAAGCCCAGAAAAACCCCTTCTTTTTGCCACACAGTGCGAAACATATCATTTCATTGCATTTGCATCTTAGAAAGAAAGGTACGTAATATGACGAGAAACTTTAGTGGTTGAAGCGATAAGGTGGTTGTTATTCAAATCATTAGCAGCATTAATTACTAATACCAACCCATTAACAGTCCTAATCTGAGATTCCATGTATTACTTTAGTTGAGTTGACGAGGGAAAAGCTACAGTGACTTTTTAAAAATACAAGCGATAATCTAAATTATAAAAAAAGATCATATTTTTTCACACACTATAAAGTGTCATGAAATTCAAATATCGACAAAAGCCTACAAGACTTCAAATATAATCAGGGAGCAAGTTGGGGACATAGCGGGATACAACTTTGCAAAAGGCAGTTACTTAGGATAGGATATGTCCGAACTTCCCTCCTGTCTTGGTCTTTGTATCTTTCAAAATCAGTAGCTTTGGCTTTGCATCCTTGTACCGTCATCTCTCATGTCTTGTTTGTTTAATATGTGATTATAATCCGACATGATTTGGTTCCACTTTATCAAAATCCTAATGTCTTTTCTTCCTTTTTAGTCTTTTGCTTTACTTTTGGAAAGTGATCGCAGTGAGTTGAGCCCACTAGCCCACAGTGAGTTGACAACCAAATCTTTTCTTTTTTCCTTTTTTTTCTTGGGTCAGGTAAGGAGAAACCAAATTATTTATGGGCTGTTTTCCCCATTATGTGTATGAGCCTAATGGACTAGAATGTTCAGCAAGAAGTCCAGCCCTAATTAGAGTGGGATCACCCCAACTTAGAGGTGTTAAACAGATTGGACCGGCCTGGTCCGGCATGGCACGAGTATGACCTGTTTAAGTAAGGCCCGGCACAACATGGCCCGTATTTTGGCCGTACCAGGACAAGATAATTGTGCCCAATGGGCAGGGCCGACCCATTTAAAGCCCATTTATTAAATTATATTTATTTTAGATAAAAATAATACATAACATTATTACGTTTATATCTTAAATTCAAGTCTATTTCTTTTCTCTAATACTATGTATTACACTTTAATGTTTTCTTTATATATAAAATAATAATTTTATTTTTCAAGTTTCAAATTTTAAAATCCAAACAATAATGTAGTCATTTTCTATTTAAATGTAATTTAAATAAAGTTATTGCCCACATTTTTCAACAAATAATAAATCTTGTGAATATTATACATAATTATAAAAAAAAAAAATTAAATGAAGTTGTAAAAAAAATTACAAAAAAAAAAAAGAAAAAGCAATACATAAGTCAAATTTGGCATGGGCCCATATTGGCTTGTTTAGTGGCCCACACGAGCACGGTCCGAGTCTATATGGGCTTGGGCCGTGAACTCGGGACAGGATTGATAATTTTTATAGATGAACGAACCTAACACGGCTTATTTATTAAATGGGTCGACTCTAAATGGACCAAACCAGCCCAACACGGCTTGTTTGACACCTAACCCACCTGTGAATTGAGAACTTATACTCCATGATCCATCTAGATATTAAAATACCTTTTTTCCATGGGTGGTTTTGAATAGATTGAACGATAACATGGAAGCTGGCGAATGGGCATATATATACAATTCCTATTAAAGGATTCAAAATGACATTGGAGGAAATTAGGTGAGCCTTCAGTCATGTTTGTTTTGAGGCTGACCTAACACTCTTAACTTAACACCTTTGAAAAATATTCCTTCACGTCAAGAAAAACACCTATTTGCTTACCTCATTCATTTTTCACCATCAATTGCAAATTTCTTCATCATCCTCGTCCATTATGATCTTTTTACTCAAAGATTACACCTCAGCTATAGGCTACATTTGTCCCCCAAAAAAAATATGATTGTATATATTTTTTTTAAAAAAATACATGTGTTTACGTATCACTACCTTTACCAAAAACCGACACCATTTGTTGATTAACTAAATCCAAGTTTAATGTTGTAGGCTAATAGTAATCAAGTTTATTTCGCTCACAACATTAAAATAAAGGCAATCAAAATAATAAAAAGTTGCTTTCCACATAAGAAAATGAAAGGAAAAAGAAAAATGATGAGAATGATATATTGTTATTTTAATAGTGACGTGCCCAAAACACCGAATTTAAAATCATTCTACGTAATATGAACAGCATGTTAATAATTTATAATTAGTTGAAAATAACTAGTGTGATGGGACAAGTGAATATTGGACACGAGGAACTCATCATCTTAATGCTTAGGTCTCACTCGATCAAAGTTAAAAAAGAAAAGATAGCAAATCACTAATGCCGAAAAAGAATGCAATGTATCTAAGAATGTTTGTAAAAGTTTACAAATCTAATGCTTAAATTTCAATCAAAATGAATAAATTAGACAATTAGTATGTGTTGGAGTAGATTACCACGAGACTTAAATCTCACGCCAAAATCAAAAAATTAACAATAATCATGCATGCACAAGCATTTTCCAGCATGTGCACGTGTCGACATCTTGTGTCGTTTGCGTTTTACAAGCCGATACGAAAAGATGAAAGAACGATGGGCCTACGTATGTGTATGTGTATCAAAACAAATTGGTGGCACATGGCGTGTAAAGAAAGAGCTGGTAAGGTCGACCCACGTGGCACAATTTGCAACTTCACGTTGACGACTGCCGGCTGCCATATCAACAAACTTAACCGCCCCAACCCACCACGTCATAGCCCACGTTGATGTTCCACGTCGACATAACATTAAGTGGAATGACAAAAGTAGCCATGTCCGAACACGAATATTTGACTTTTACCATGAAATAAACGGAGATGGCTGGTGTGAAGAGTTGAACTGTTGTAGCGTGGGTTTTGAACGTTGACTTGACTGAACCCACAATTTCGAGCCAAACTCGAAGGGGACAAAACTTTTTAGTAAACTTGTGGAATAAATATATTTAAATAATTATAAATTAAAAAAACAAGGGCAATTGATAGTAATTTGACAATATAAGAACCAGTCAAATAATAGAATCTTTGGCCCTAGAAAAGAAGAAAAAGAAGATGGTTTGGTAAACCTCTTGGCATGGCAACAGAGAATTTATAATACAAAATTTTGACCTCAAGAAATCCATTCAAATTTAATGTTCACACGC